GGAGCATCTTTTCATGTGTCTGTTGGCCATCTGAACTTCTTCCTTAGAGAACTGTCTGTTTAGCTCCTCTGCCCATTTTTCAATTGGATTATCCAATTTTTGTTTGTTGAGGTGTGTGAGCTCTTTATATATTTTGGATGTCAACCCTTTATCGGATCTGTCATTTATGAATATATTCTCCCATTCTGTAGGATACCTTTTTGTTCTATTGATGGTGTCCTTTGCTGTACAGAAGCCCTTCAGCTCGATATAGTCCCACTTGTTCATCCTTGCTTTTGTTTCCCTTGCCCAGGGAGATATGTTCAAGAAGAGGTCAGTGAGGTTTATGTCTAAGAGATTTTTGCCTATGTCTTTTTCCAAGAGTTTTACGGTTTCATGACCTATGTTCAAGTCCCTGATCCATTTTGAATCTACTCTTGTGCATGGGATCAGACAGCGATCCAGTTTCATTCTGTCACATGTAGTTGCCCAGCCCTGCCAGCACCATCCGTTGAAGAGACTGTCACCTCCCCACTGCACGTCCACGGCTCCTTCATCGTATATCAATTGACCATACATGCCTGGGTTAACGTCTGGAGACTCTACTCTGCTCCATTGGTCTGTGGCTCTGTTCTTGTGCCAGTACCAAATTGTCTTGATTACTGTGGCTTTGTAGTAGAGCTTGAAGTTGGGGAGTAAGATCCCCCCACTTTATTCTTCCTTCTCAGGATTGCTTTAGCTTTGGTGTTTCCATATGAATTTTAGAATGATTTTCTCTAGTTCATTGAAGAATGCTGTTGGTGATTTGATAGGAATTGCATCGAATCTGTATATTGTTTTGGGCAGGATGGCCATTTTGATGATATTAATTCTTTCTAGCCAGGAGCATGGGATGAGTTTCCATTTGTTAGTGTCCTCTTTAATTTCTCTAAAGAGTGTCTTACAGTTTTCAGGATACAGGTTTTTCACTTCCTTGGTTAGGTTTATTCCTAGGTATTTTATTCTTCTTGATGCTATTGTGAATGGAATTGTTTTCCTGATTTCTCTTTCTGTTAGTTCATTGTTAGTGTACAGGAAAGCCACAGATTTCTCTGTTAATTTTGTATCCTGCAACTTTGCTGAATTCAGATATTAGTTCTAGTAGTTTTGGAGTGGAATCTTTAGGGTTTTTTATGTACAATATCATGTCATCTGCAAACAGTGACAGTTTAACTTCTTCTTTACCAGTCTGGATGCCTTGTATTTCCTTGTTTTGTCTGATTGCCGTGGCTGGGACCTCCAGTACTATGTTGAATAACAGTGGGGAGAGTGGGCATCCCTGTCTTGTTCCCAATCACAGAGGAAAAGCTTTCAGCTTCTCGCTGTTCAGTATGATGTTGGCTGGGGGTTTGTCATATACGGTCTTTATTATGTTGAGGTACTTGCCCTCTATACCCATTTTGTTGAGAGTTTTTATCAGGAATGATTAATTTTAAACTGTAGTAAAAAATGTTTTTAAATATGGTCTTGCCTTACCATTATTTTTTCCTTGCACACTTTGTGACCCAGATTTTCTGTTTTATTTACATTTTTTGCCTGTTTTACATGAAGGGATACATCAGTTGGTGGTTTTTATTGAGACTGGTGACCGGAAAATGTGCATAAGGCAGTAACAGGCACAAAGTAGGGCTTTATGTATGTGAAGAAAGTTCCTTTAGGATTTCAGTTCAGCAAAGACATTGAATGGCAAGATGTGAACTTAAGTCTCTTAACATGCGACTGGTTCTAGTCAAGGTGCTTGGAAATCGAATAAGTGAAAGCTAATAAGCATGCGTGAAGTAAGTGACAATATGATGAAAAAGACAGAAAGTCCCTGTGATTCCAACCATAGTTTGTGACAAGGGGAGAATCTGCACGGCCAAATGCTTGGAGGCCGTGCTGCCTTTTTCCAGGGAGTGATCTTCATATGCAGAGCCTGACAGTCCTGCAGGGGTAAAGGTTTGTGCTATTACTATGGCAGCTAACCCGTGGCATGGTCCACTTAGAATTTGTGCCCATCCAAAAATAATTAGATTTTCCTTTCTTAAGTGATTTTAATTTTGATGGTACATTATATTTTCTGTCATTTTTCAAGCATGAGTCACTCAGTAATTTAAGTGTAATAACTGGTTGAGTCTTCAACTGTCTCAAATAGTAATGATACGCTCTTCCCCAGCTGAAGGTACTTAGGACAAAGATAGTTGTCAAGACTCAGTCACATCCCAGCAAGTGGCTGAATTACGATTTAAGTGTATTCATTTCATTTCCCTGCAAACCAAGCCTCAGCCATGGCAATACATCAACCAGGCAGAACTGTTCAACTGCTGAACATCTATACTGAATTTAATGAGTATATCTTGTAATTTCCAAACAGGTTACTTCATGTAGAATTGTGGTCATATTACCAATGAATGCATACTTCACTAAGATGTAGATACTGCAACGACCTCATAATCTCACCAGAAAGACTATGGAAGATTAAGTTGTCTTTATTTGAGGCACGAATGTTTCTCTATTGTGATGGATACGGAAGACTCATTTCCCAGGATCTAGGTACAAGAGTAAAGTGATACCAGCTACTGACCTCATTGAAAAATACTGCTCTAGCTGAGGTATTGAACAAAATAACAAAATAATGGGTGGGAAGTAAAACATTTTAGGGTAAGATTAAATTATTGTTGATTACAAATCATGGAATTATTTGATGATTAGTGGATGGTACTAAGAAACTATTAGAATAATTCAATAATTAATGGAATAGACTCAAAAGACATGTAAAATTGCATTATAGAACTAGGGAAATGTGTACATTACCTAAATTGAAATAGAGACATAGTGAGTGAGTCAAAGGATGATACTGAATTTCTTATTATTACGATATCACTGATATACACTCTTATGAAGGTTTCACATGAAAAACATTGTGGTTACTACATTCACCCACATTATCAAGTCCCCCCATACCCCATTGAAGTCACTGTCCATCAGCTTAGTAAGATGCCACAGTCACTACTTGTCTTCTCTATACTGCACTGTCTTCCTTGTGACCCCCCATGCACCATGTGTACCAATCATAATACCCCTCAATCCCTTCCTCCCTCGCTCCCCACTCACTGTCCCCCACCCCTTCCCTTTGGTAACCACTAGTCCCTTCTCGGAGTCTGTGAGTCTCTGCTGTTTTATTCCTTCAGTTTTTGCTTTGTTCTTAGGCTCCACAGATGAGTGAAATCATTTGGTACTTGTCTTTCTCCACCTGGCTTATTTCACTGAGCATAATACCCTCTAGCTCCACCCATGTTGTTGCAAATGGTAGGATTTGTTTATTTCCTTTGGGTGAATAATATTCTATTGTGTATCTGTACCACATCTTTATCCATTCATCTCCTGATGGGACACTTAGGTTTCTTCCATATCTCAGCTATTGTAACTAGTGTTGCAATAAACATAGGGGTGCCTATGTCTTTTTGAATCTGAGAACGTGTTTTCATTGGGTAAATTCCTAAGAGTGGAGTTCCCAGGTCAAATGGTATTTCTATTTTTAGTTTCCTGAGGAACACCATACTGCTTTCCACAATGGTTGAACTAATTTACATTCCCACCAGCAGTGTAGAAGGGTTCCCCTTTCTCCACATCCTCGCCAACATGTTGGCCATCCTAACTGCTGTGAGGTGATATCTCACTGTGGTTTTAATTTGTATTTCCCTGATAATTAGTGATGTGGAGCATCTTTTCATGTGCCTGTTGGCCATCTGAATTTCTTTGTTGGAGAACAGTCTGCTCAAAGCCTCTACCAATATTAATACGCTGGCATTGTGCCGTGCAAATAGGTCCAGTGATTCTAATGTAAGTTATTGTCATCATGTTCCTGTCCTCGCCTTGGTTGTAACTCTTTGCATATCCTTTTCAGGTACTTTGACTCCATTTCTGTGCTTGTAACGTACTTGATGGGGCACCTCAGTGGTCTGAATATTAGAATTTTTCAGGAAAGCAGAGAATCTAGTGAGGTTGAGGTGTTGCTGTAAGGGCCCCTGACGTGTCAGACCTCAGCGTCTCCTGCCCTCCCCCTTGTGAGCTCCATCCACCTCCAGGGCTCACAGGAGAGAAGGGGCCTCTCCCTAACACTCAGGGGCCTCTTGAGAGGTACTGACTTGGTACGTGTACTTGTTTTTTGGTAACTAGTAACCGCAGAAAGTTACTCACCAACAATGTGAGCTTCCACGCCTGTCGTCCTGGTGAAAACAGTCGCAGTTCTGCGGGGAGGGGAAGGCACAGACTCACACACCCGTATCTGGGGGTCTGGCTGCTGTGACCCTCACCCTGAGCCCACTGTTCAGGCAGCAGGAATGAGTCAGTGAGTATTTCCTATTTCCATCTGAGAGGCAGTTTATAATGAAAGGAAGCCAACTTTTTGCCATGCAGATGTGTCTTTCTCTGGACCTTTATCTTGTTATAGAATGTGAAGAGTAAATGAATTTTTTATCTTTGTGATACTGATAATCCAGTTCCCAAATCCCAGGCCTTACTGATGTCATCCGCACTGTATTTCTTTTTTTATCGCTTAGTAACTTCCTCACATACTTCCATCTGTTTTTGAATTTTTCTCTCTACTGATCTCTCAGTCTTATTCAATAACCAATATGTTCCATGGAGCCAGCTACCCTAATTCTGTTCTGTATTTTTAAGATTGATTCAAACGAGATCTATCCTCTTAATAGATTCTTAACCGTGCAATATACTGAGGACTATAGGTACAATGTTGTACCAGAAATCCTGGAGTTTATCCATCTTGTGCAACTGAAACTTTATCCTCTTTTTTTCTTCTTTTTCAGTTTTCTTGCCTATCCTTATTTCTTTTTTCAGGTATAGGATTTTTTTCAATAACATGCCCAGGTTCATTAACTAGTAGTATTTGTATTGGGATGAAATTAAATTTATAAATTAGCTTAGGGACAGTTGATGTTTTGATAATACTGAATTTCTCTACCCAAGAACATATATGACTTTATATTTATGTCTGTTTTAATGTATTTCAGGAAAAGTTTCTGTGGTTTTTGTCCTACACACTTGGTATATTTTTATTAGATTTATTCCTACATTTTTTATTTATACTTTTGTAACCGACCCCCAGTTCCTAAATGTAAGTTGTAATTTTGTACCTATGTAGGAATTTGTTTTGCAGAATTTGAAGCTATGTCACAAGTTCAGATTGCTTTGTCATGTATCATGGAATTCCCCCACTCAATGGAATGAGAAACTTGTGTCCCTAAGAGCTGTTAGGTGTCGGAAGCTCCAGGTGGAGATGAAGTAACAGTGGAAACATACCCGTAACCCACACTTGCAGTAAAGCGAATTCCACAGAAAGATATGTAGGCATCCAAAATACATGAAAAGCATCAATATTCATTTCATTGCTATGTAATATGGAAATTATGAACCAGAGGATAAAATAGTAACCAAATGCTTATATTTTATTTTTTTTGCACAAAACTGTATACATTTATATGAAAGATTCTATGATCCCAGTATAAAATGAAAATAGAAAACTATATAAAACAAAATGTCATAATATATGATAGTATTTATATTCAATTTCCTCTAATAAGATAAACTGAAATCTATACAACAGAAGATGATTTAAAGTCACGCACACAATAAATACGAGCTAGTTGAAGAGTAAGTACTTATGGCCCAATAGCATTTCATGTATCTTGACCGATGGTTTATATAAAGTAAAAAGCAAAGGAACACAATGGTGACTTCATTATGATGTCACCAAACTAAAAAAACGGAACCATTCCTCCAAGCAGAATGCTGGGATGGTTTGTGGCTTTCCGGCCTCCATGGCCCGGAGAGGAGAGTCCCGGAGTGACCGTCTTTTTGGAATTAAAGCGGAGGACATGAATACACATTTACTTTGCTACACTTTAAAATATACAGACACATATGAATCACACCCTGAGATTTGTTCTCCTAAAACAATGTTTGGCTGTCCTAAGATATTAGAAATACATAAAATATCTAACATGAAACTTAACCTCCCCTGTTGGCGCCCATGGGCACCCAGAGGTCCATCGTGACGCTGTTTGTTAAGCTCCCCTCCAGGGCCACCCCACGTGCTCTGCTATCAGCCCGCTGTCCGAACGAGGCCCCGCCGCTCCTCTGCGGGATCCGGGCAGTGGGCGCGCTGCTCTCACTTCCAGAGCTGCGCCCGGTGCCGCCGAGGGTCGGGTCCCCTCGGCTGAGGCCTGATCGCACCCGCCCGCCGCCTCTCCTGCTCGGGGAGGCCGCGGACCGGCCCCCTCCCGGCCGGCAGGGGGGCGGGGACCAGCCAGCTCTCGGGGGGGCGGGAGCAGGCCGCCTGGGAGGCCAGGGTGTAGAAGGCCTGCCCCACCTCGCACAGGCGCCCCCGCAGCTCCGCGAGCCGCCAGAGCTGCTCCCAGTCCGGCGGGGAGCGGGCGAGCTGGCTCTGCATCAGGACCACGTCCCGGTAGACGGCCTCGGCCATGGCGCGCACGGTGGTCACCATACACCTCCGCAGCGGGGGCGGCTGGTCCTCCCGGGCGCCGGGCCCGCCGCGCCCCGCGCACTGCCTCTGCCACCTCCGCCGGCGGGCAGCCGGGCTCCCTCGGCTCTCGCGGCGGTGGCCGGCGTCAGAGGCCTTTCTTTTCTTCGTGCCCGCGGGCGCGGCGCCCTCGCCTCCTGGGGCGGCCCCTGCAGGCGGGCGGCTGTGAGCGGGCGGCCAGCCCCGCCCCCGGGGCCCCCAGGCCGGGACCTCCCTCGGCTGCGCGCCGGCCCGCCCTCCTCCTCCTCCAGGGCCCCGCCCCCAGAGCCCCACGTCCTCGGGCCGCCGGCCGGCCGCCTTCGTGCCCACGCGCCGGTTCCGCCGCCTGCTTCTCGGGCCGTGCGAGCTCCTACCTGTCCTGCCGCGGGGGCCGCCGCCGGACCTCACTTCCCTCGTCCCGGGGCCCTTGCGATCCGAGCGGCGCTCTGATTCTGCGGGTGAGAATTGGCGAGTCTGAGTGACCGGGAAACCCTCGTGCATCTGGACGCGCCCGGACCCGAGGCTGCAACGGAAAGTAGGCCCCCGGCTCTTCCTGGGGTCCCGGATCCGCGAGGCCCTGGCTCCCAAAGGGCACCCTCACCTCGGGCCCTGTCCCCCCTCCCCTGAGAAGAAGGCCTTACCTGGTGGAACCCTGCAGCTGCTTCCATCTCGGCGCCCAGTATCCTTGCAATTCTTCTCTGTCTTGGCCTCTGACCCCGGAGAACATGGGGGGCGTTAGCCGACTGGCCTCCCTCGAGGCCCCAGCCCGTCCCTGGCCCGTCTGTGTGGGCAGCTTTGACCGGAGGCTGTTCAGCCAGTGTCGGGCATGAGCCGGAGCAGTTTGGTTCCAGGGGGTCACTAACATTTCCCAGGGCCACCCCGGGCTGGCTGGCATCTCCTGTCACCTACCTCAAAATAAGGCCCCGCCGCAGACACCGGGCCCAGCACCCCTGAGCCCAGCCCCCCTTCCAGCCTCCACACGGAGCGTCCAGGTCCCTACCTGGCCTGTGGGCGCGGCTCCCTCCTAAGTGGGCAAACTGGGCAGAGAACGTCCTGCCCTTTCCTTCCGAGGGTTTCCCCGCCACCTCCCAGCCTGTTTCCCTGAAGGAGTTGTGTGGCGGGCGGGGCCAGTGAGCGGGGCGGCGGGCCCAGGGGCCCCGGGGCTCTGGGTGTCCAGGTCCCGCGTCCATCGGGAATCGCAGCAGCAGGTCCCAACCGCGACGCGGCGGGAGACAGAAGAGCGCGTGAGCGTCACCGGCCGGCCCTTTATTGGCCCCGCAGAGGGGCGTGGCTCGCTCCGATTGGCTGGAGAGATTCCACATTCCGCTTCTCGGAGCCTCGACTGTTGGGGGTCGCGCACGCTGCGGGGGGTGCTTGTGCGGGGGGCGCAGCCCAGGGAGGGGAGGCGTCTGCAGGCGCCTGTCAAGAGTTCAGGGAGCAGGAGAGCAGGGCCGGGGCAGCGGCGCACCAGGCTGCGGACTCCCTCGCTTACCTGTGGCCCAGTTCCCACCCACGACGCCCCGAGACACGAAGTGAGCGTCTTCCCCGTCCCTGGGGTACACCTGTTTGCCATATGCTGCTTGCTGGTAATTTCATCCTAAGTCACAGGAAAATTGGACTTTTAAAAAGGGTGTTTACCAGAATCATTATGCCGGTGGAACCTCTCTGAGGAGAGTGGGATCTCAGCCCTGAAACTTTAAGGACTGGATTTCACTGGAGGAAAGCTTACAAGGCCATCTTTCCTTCTTTTTTTCTTTATAAATTTTTTATTAAGGTGTTATTGATATACACTCTTATGAAGGTTTCACATGGGAAAACAACGTGGTTACTACATTTACCCATGTTATCAAGTCCGCACCCACACCCCTATGCAGTCACTGTCCAGTGCAGCAAGATGCCACAGATCCACTATGTGTCTTCTCTGAGCTACACTGTTCTCCCCGTGACCCCCCACACCATGTGCACTAAACATAGTGCCCCTCAGTCCCCGTCTCCCTCCCTCCCCACCCGCCCGCCTACACCCCTCCCCTTTGGTAACCACTAGTTCCTTCTTGGAGTCAGAGTCCGCTGCTACTTTGTTCCTTCAATTTTGCTTCATTGTTACACTCCACAAATGGGGGAAATCACTTGGCGCTTATCTTTGTCCGCCTGGCTTATTTCACTGAGCATAATGTCCCCCAGCTCCATCATGTTGTTACAGATGGTAGGATTTGTTTCTTTCTTATGCCTGAATAATATTCCATTGTGTATATGTACCACGTCATCTTTATCCATTCATCTACTGATGGACACTTAGGTTGCTTCCATATCTTTGCTATTGTAAAAAGTGCTGCAATAAACATAAGGGTGCATATATCTTTTTGAATCTGAGAAGTTGTATTCTTTGGGTAAATTCCAAGGAGTGCGGTTCCCTGGTCAAATGGTATTTCTGTTTTTAGTTTTTTGAGGAACGTCCATGTTGCTTTCCACAATGGTTGAACTACCTTATATTCTCACCTGCAGTGTAGGAGGGTTCCGCTTTCTCTGCATCCTCACCAGTATTTGTTGTTCTTAGTCTTTTCGATGGTGACCATCCTTACTGGTGTGAGGTGATAGCTCATTGTGGTTTTAATTTGCATTTTCCTGATGATTAGTGATGTGGAGCATCTTTTCATGTGTCTGTTCGCCATCTGAATCTCTTCTTTATAGAACTGTCTCTTCATATCCTCTGCTTATTTTTTAATTGGGTTATTTGCTTATTGGGTGTTGAGGCATGTAAGTTCTTTATATATCTCTTGGATGTTAACCCCTTTTATCGGATGTATCATTTACAAATATATTCTCCGATACTCTATGATGCCTTTTTGTTCTGTTGATGGTGTCCTTTGCCATGCAGAAACTTTTTGGTTTGATGTAGTCCCATGAGTTCATTTTTACTTTTGTTTCCATTGTTTGAGGGGGTGCGTTTAGGAAGAAGTTGCTCATGCTTATATTCAGGAGATGTTTGCCAATGTTGTCTTCTAAGAGTTTTATGGTTTCATGACTTAGATTCAAGTCTTTGATCCATTTTGAGTTTACTTTTGTGTATGGGGTTAAACAATAATCCAGTTTAATTCTTTTGCTTATAGCTGTCCAGGTTTGCCAACACCAGCTGTTGAAGAGGCTGTCATTTCTCCATTCTATCTCCATGGCTCCTTTATCATATATTAATTGACAATATATGGTTGGGTTTATATCAGAGCTCTCTAGTCTGTTCCATTGGTCTATGGGTCTGTTCTTGTGCCAGTACCAAATTGTCTTGATTACTGTGGCTTTGAGGTAGAGCTTGACGTTGGGGAGCATAATCCCCCCTGCTTTATTCTTCCTTCTCAGGATTGCTTTGACCATTCGTGGTCTTTTGTGGTTCCATATGAATTTTAGAATTATTTTCTCTAGTTCATTGAAGAATGCTATTGGTATTTGGTAGGGATTGCACTGAATCTATAGATTACTTTAGGCAGAATGGCCATTTTTACAATATTAATTCTTCCTATCCATGAGCATGGGATGTATTTCCATTTATTCTTTAATTTCTCTCATGAGTGTCCTTTACTTTTCAGAGTATATGTCTGTCACTTTCTTGGTTAAGTTATTCCTAGGTATTTTATTCTTTTTCATTCAATTGTGAATGGAATTCTTTTCCTGATTTCTCTCTGCTAGTTCATTGTTAGTGTATAGAAATACCACAGATTTCTGCATATTAATTTTATATCCTGCAACTTTTCTGAATTCAGATATTAGATCTAGTAGTTTTGGAGTGGATTCTTTAGAGTTTTTTATGTACAATGTCATGTCACCTGGAAACAGGGACAGTTTGACTTCTTCCTTGCCAATCTGGATGCCTTGTATTTCTTCCTTACCAGGCCATCTTACCTATAAGTATATCTGAGAAATGCCTTGTCTTCATATAAAAATGAAACCAGCAGTGAACTAAAAATAATTAACTGTAAACTTTCTGTCCCAGCAATGTTTTACATTCTTTAAAGCTCTTATGCAAACTTTAATCATTTCCACAAAGAAAATAAGGCTAATCTCTGTTTATCTTTAAAACCACTTCAAAATGTGACAGTGCTTTTCCAGTCTGTATTATCTTTTCCAAACTTCTCCACTGGGCTGAGGCTTGGGTAGATAATGGAGCTGCAATATTTTAATGCAAATCCTAGAAGTGTGTATTCCTTTAAAAAGTAAGTTGTGAGCCGTAAAATTCATTCTAATAAATAATTACTCAAAAAGACTTCCAGGATATTATAACAGAAAATTATTTTTTAAATTTCTTAATATCATCTAATACCCTGTTAATCATCACATTCTCCTAAATTACTCAAACACATTTTAAAAATTCTTGTTTTTTTCAACCAGGATCTAAATAAATTTCCTATTTATTATTACTTACTATAACATCAAAAAGGATTCATTCTATCTGAAAATATAATTTAACATCAGTTGCAGGATGGCAGCACCTACTTGTAATTACTATCACTCAGAAAGAAATAGTGTCCAGAGTATATAAAAATAAATTTCTACCCATTTAAAACAAAAGGAAGGCAATCCACAATAAATTGAAAGAAATTTAAAAAGACAATTCACAGGTTAGTAAACTAACAATGGATATTATGTTACACAAGGTGTTGCTAATAATAAATCAAATGCCAATAAAAAAACCCCATTTCACATGCATACAATTAGTAAAAGTCAGACATTACCTGAGGTGTCAATGATCTGGGGAGTTGAAGACTGACCCCCAGTGTAGGTGTGGGCATTACTGGCTTAACCACTTCTGGGGACAGTACGATGATATGAACTAAACATGAAGACACACGACAGTGAAGACCGGTAATCCTAGTCACACTTTCTGTTCACAACAGCAGGAGAGTACTCAGGTACACGCACGGCACGTTGCCAGTGCAGGGACAATATTGGAAGCAACACGAATGCCCATCAGTATGATCAGAGATTAAAACCAGGAAGTCCAGTGCATTGACACATATCTGTCACAAACAGTAGGAAAACAGAATAATCTAGAAGAATATGATGTGTAAAATGGAGATTTTTTTCAGACAACTGAGAGAAAATTCATGATATAGGATTAGACAGTATGATGACATGTGTATAAATATTTTGCACTTGCAGAAAATAAGATATGGTGTTAAAAGTATCTACATTTATGTTAAAATGTCCTAAATGCTTGGAAATAAGAATCATCAAATTATAGTTGATCATATCAGATACATGCACATGTGATAAAATAAAAATGCAGAGGAAAAGTAGGCAGGAAATACATACCTTTCATATCCTGGGAGAGACGCATATGACTAGGTTTAATGTGACTGCATCCAGCCGATCGGGTTAGCGCCGATGCTTAAGCCGGTGTCCTGAGTGGTAAAAAACCCAGCTGGAGAGGGAGCCCCCTCTTCACCCCCACCTTTCCTCAGTTTTCCTTGAAGCCCCAAAGTACCCCATAAAATCTGCTCGGCATCCACAACCTGAACTGGTAAGGACGCTAGGTCGTCGCCATCAGCCTCCGGCCTTTTGATCCTGTCTTCCTGTGTCCTGATTTAAAAATGGGTTGTGGATATGACCACTGCATCATGAATTTCCAGACACTTCGTGGGCCACCTGTGTCCCCTGCTGGAAAACCAATGCCCGAGTCCAAAAATATGGCCTAATGTCAACCTTCAAAAGCTGGCTGCGATCGATAATAACTCACTGATGTCCCTCCTCTTCAAGCCACAGATAACATGCAAAACTGTCAGGCCTTTGGACAGCGGCGAGGACGAGGAGGTGTCTGGTGGAGTGTGGGAGTGGGGCTCTGACCCCTCACCGGCCCTTGGGCTCAAATAAGAAGCCTCAGCAACTCCAGACCCCAGAGCCTTCTAGCAAGACAGCCAGTGAGAAGGAGCAAAGACAAAGATGAGGAATCTGGGTGGGTGAAACTATCCTGAAAACTGGAATCCCAGGACTGGAACCCTTAGACACTGGAATTCTAGCTTCTCCTTCTTTTTTCTATATGCACAGCCATCTACAAGCTCAGACAGAGAAATTCAACAGAAATATACAATATTATCCAGGGTTTTTCACTCAGGAGCATAAATAATATATAACAATGTATATATATATATAACATAATTTTAAAAAAACATTATATATATGTTAAAGTACATATCAACACATATATATATATGAGTATATATATATATATGTGTTGATATCTATCTATATATGTTGAAATTCCTTACATGCTTGGGAAAGACAAAGACTCACTCATGGTAGTCCTGGAGGGTTATCTGGGGGGAGATGGACAGGG